CGACCTGGCTTGTGTGACGGAGACCTGGGTGCGCGAAGGGGCAACAGTTACCTTACGAGAGATGGCGCCCCCGGGTTTCTCCGTCCTCCACCAGTCGCGGACTGTGGGCCGGGGGGGGAGGGGTGGCATTATTAATCCGGGGAAATTGTCCTTTCAGGGCTCTACCACCGCCATCGATCCCCGGCATTGAATGTGTTGGCCTAGTGTGGGGCTCCGAGGAGAGCTTGGCTGTCTGGCTGGTGTACCGGCCACCTAGCGCACCAGCAGCCACCCTGTCAGGCCTATTGGAGGCGGTGGCCGGCTGGGCCTTGGAGTTCCCTAACCTATTGGTATTGGGGGACTTTAACATCCATGCTGATGCCACTCCCTCCTCACAGGCTCTGGACCTGGCGACACTAGGGCTCTCCCAGTTTGTTTCGGGCCCCACACATCAAGCAGGCCACACGCTGGATTTGATCTTTGGAGTAGGTATAGATGTGATCATGTCTCCTTCGATGAAGGTGCCATGGTCTGATCACTACGCTCTGAAAGCCAGGATTGACTTTCCACCCCCACCCTGCTTAGGTGGCGAGCCGATTTGGGCTCGACCGCAGAGGCTGATGGACCCTGATAGATTCCGCCAAGCCTTGCGGGACCTTGCTCCCCCTGGCGACTCATTGACTGAGCTTGTTGAGGGCTGGAATACCCAGCTCCTGGCAGCCATCGATGAGATCGCACCTAAGCGCCCTCTGCGACCCCGCAGAAACCGGGCTCCATGGTTTACCGAGGAGCTCCGGAAAATGAAGCGGGACCTCAGACGGCTAGAGCGAGTATGGCGGGGTGCCCGTGACGGAGCCTCAAGAACATCTTATAGGGCTTTTATGAAAACCTACGAGATGGCGGTGAAGGCTGCTAAGAAGTCATACTTCTCGGCCTCCATTGCATCCGGTAGCTCTCGCCCAGCGCAATTATTTAGTTTAATACCCGGTGGAGTACAGGATCAGGTTTAAGGTGCTGGTTTTAACCTTTAAAGCCCTATACGGCTTAGGACCCTCGTACCTACGGGACCGCCTCTCCTGGTATGCCCCACAGAGAAACTTACGGTCTTCAAATAAAAACATCTTGAAGGTCCCAGGCCACAGAGAAGTTAGGCTGGCCTCAACGAGAGCCAGGGCCTTTTCAGCTGTGGCTCCGATCTGGTGGAACACTCTGTCACAAGAGACCAGGGCCCTGCGGGACTTGACATCTTTCCGCAGGGCCTGCAAGACAGAGCTGTTCCACCAGGCCTTTGGCAAGGGCACAGCCTGACTCCCTCCTTCGGCAATCTTCGCGGAGCTCTGGCCCAATGGTTGCCAGTGGCTTGAATTAATTAATTTTAGAATGAATGATTTTAGAGTGTTGTTTATGTTGTACTTTTGTACTGTTTTATTGTTGTTAGCCGCCCTGAGCCCGGCTAAGGCTGGGGAGGGCGGGATATAAATATAATTTATTATTATTATTATTATTATTATTATTATTATTATTATTATTAGAGTGATCATAATGCATTTAATAAAATATTCATTCAAAATATATGTTTGCATCATTAACAAATCATCTTCCTGAAGGCAAAAACTATTTCATTTTATTTTAGAGAATTGGGTGAAGGGTTTGACTCCCCCCCCCCAACCAGGAAACCGCCAGTGTGGTGTAGTGGTTAAGAGCGGTGGACTCGTGATCTGGTGAACTGGGTTCGATTCCCCACTCCTCCACATGCAGCTGCTGGGCGACCTTGGGCTAGTCACACTTCCCTGAAGTCTCTCAGCCTCACTCACCTCACAGAGTGTTTGTTGTGGGGGAGGAAGGGAAAGGAGATTGTTAGCCGCTTTGAGACTCCTTAAGGGGAGTGAAAGGCGGGATATCAAGTCCAAACTCCTCCTCCTCCTCCTCCTCCTCCTCCTCCTCCTCCTCCTCTAGTATTGCCTTTTTTTACATTTCTATGCATTGGTATGCATTAGAACATATCAATAGAGTTCTGCCATTGACTCCAGTAGGATCTGAATTATACCATGTCTGTCCCATTTTTACTTACCTTGCCCAACACTCAGCACATATAGTTCACCTTTCTTGTGAATAGTGCAGTTGAATAAATATGTCACATTTTAGAAGCTGGATGTAACGGTTTTAAAAAACAGTGAGTCTGCATTAGTGCCCAGTCCTTTAGTATAACACAAGGAAAATCCAGTTTGTGCTTTAGACACATACTCATTAATGTCCAGTGTTGGCAACGGGCCACATTTTGCAGAACTTTTGAGCTTCCAGTTTGGGGTTAAATGTGCCCTACTCTGGTTGGGACAAATTCCCATGAAAACATGCATTCTGAGATATTGCATCCCAAATGGTGATCTCTGCAGAATAAAAAAGTATCCAGTCCAATCAACAAAAAATGTTGGTGGTGGTTAGTATTTTTGTTATGTGTGTGCTTGAGATAATTGGTGATTCTGACTGTCGTGTATTGCATCCCTGATTTTGTGATAAAACAAAGTCAGTGAGAAGGGATAGGAAGGTGGGAGAAGAGGGGAAGTGGAACTGTCCTGTTCCCATGCATAGATTTCAATAAAACATAAAGAGGAAAAGAAAAATGCGTATCATACTTACAGAATCTCCAACTGACTCTAGGGGCTATGTGATTCCTTGCTTAGTTATGCATCAGACTTATATAATACTTAGTCTTCAGCATTAACCATTAAGCAGAACAAACATGGATTATCAAAGGGACATAGAGCAAAATGTGAAGCAATGGGTTTTCAAGTGGTCTCTAGACTTTGCACAATGGTATCAGCAGCCAAGATAAGGGATCATATGCATGGCCCCAAACATTATAGCCTCAAGTCATTTTGTGGCCCCATGTCTTCTCTTATATTCTCCCGAATTTTCACAGATGCTAATAGTCACATTTCCGCATCTCTTTAGGTTTCAGGTGAGGGTGTCAGGATCCTCAGGCCTCTCTGTCTGGGCCCCCAAACTCTCTCCATACTTTTCTCCCCAGTATGCGCCTCTCACTGGCTGTTGTCTTCCCCTTGAGTGTTTTTGCTTGGCTAGAATGTGTCAATGAACTCTGATAATTCATCCTGTTTTTCTAGATGGAGGTCAGAGCGGGGTGTAGAACCTAGCCTACTATATAAAGGTAATTACATTTATTCACTTTTGCCCCTGCTCTTACCCACTACTGGAAGGTGAAAAAGGTTCCTGCACCCTGTTTAAAAGGTTGTCTCTTTTTAGATAGTTTTTCAAAAAAATACTAACATAAGAAAGTCTGCTGAATCAGTTCAATGGCCCATTCTACTAGCAGTGGCCAACCAGATGCTTGTGGGAGCTCCAAGCAGGACGTAACAGCACTCGCCCCCATTGTGATTCACAGCAACTGGCATTCAGAATCATGCCGTCTCCAACTCTGATGGTAGAACCTAGACATCATGGCTGCTATCTTCATCTTCCACAAATTTGTGTATTCCTCTTTCAAAGCCACCAAGTTAGTGGCTGCCACTACTTCTTGTGAGAGCAAAATCGCCAGCAAAATATTTGGGTGAAATCAGGCCACAAGAGATGTAAGAGGCACGTAGCTTGGCCCTGAATACGGCGACCGGCTATGCCATACCAAGGTCATGCAACAGTAATATATAAAGGGTGGGAGGGTGGGGAAGCCAACAGAAAGTGTCTGCAGAGCAAACCATGTGCCTATGTAATATACCGAAGAGGCAGGCTAGGCCCACCCCCTGGTGGTCTATGCTCACTCATGATTTGCTGATTAGGTGAGTGGGCAGGACCAATTACCCAGGCAGCAAATTCAGCCCAGAGGCTTCCTTTGCTGCCTGGGAAACAAGTCCTTGGGATTTCCCACATCGGATCCTGGCACATGGGGGGGGGTTGCCCAGAGGCATAGGAAGGTCAGGTGGTACCCGGTACTGATTTTTTTTTTGGTCACTTCCCCCCTCCACATTGACAGCTCGGGGTAGGCTTGGGAGTCACTGGTGGGCGGTGTGCCAAATGTCACCCCCGGGTGTGCCGCCCACCCGCAACTCCCAAGTCTCCCCTGAGCTGTCAAAACGAAGGGGGAAGGGGGGAAGGCCGCCAGCAAAGCAGCACAGCTCCCCCTTCCCCCAATGGCTCCAGGTAGGCTTGGGAGTCGCGGGCGGGCAGCATGTCAAATGTCACCCCCCTCAGCGATGACACCCAGGGTGGTCTGCCCCCACCACACACCCCTTCCTACGCCTCTGGGGATGCCAGCCCTCAATGGCACCCACCAGAGAGGCTGAGTGGACTTGTGAGAGCGAAGTCAGCAGCAAAATATTTGACTGTTATCCACCTAAGAGCTTTCCAGAGCTGCCTCTTGTTTCTATGCTGTATTGCTTTCCAAATCTGACTTTTCTGCTTTAGGCTTTCTCTTTTAGACATAACATTAACTAGTAAATTGTGGTTGCTGGGACTGCTCAGTTCTCTTGGTGGCTTGCACACCCCAGTGGTGCAACTAGAGCTGGACCTTGGGCCTGAAGTCCCAAATGACACCCCCCCCAAGAGTACAGTAGTGAACAGGCCTAGCATCAGCACCTGGGCCAAACGGGTATGTCAAGGCCCACAGAAGCTGGTTCCCCAACATAGTGGTGGATAATATTAGGAGAACGTTCTGGAAAGTGGCCTTCTCAGAAAAACCTCAGAAATGTTTGGGGGGGGGGAGAGAAGGCTTCGGAGTAGTTTAACAATCAATCCGTGTCCCCAGGGCATTCTGGGAATTGTAACTCTGTGAGCGGAATGGGGTCTCCTGGTGTCAGGGACTGGCTGGATGAGGAAGAGTGTTGGGAGCCACCTGCCCATGAGCCCCCAGGCAGGGCACAGAAGATGATGACTTCTCTTGGGGTGCTAGTCTACTTGCCACATTTTGCGGTTGTTGCCTTCTTATCACACATTTACTTACTAACGTGTCCTGATTGCATTCTGCTTGCTTTGTCCAATGGAAGAAAAATGAGAGTCACTAAGAATCATACCTGATTCTCCTGGCCTAGTGCCATCCATTTATCTCCATAGAGAAATTCTTCCTTATGATAGGGGCATGGAAGGCTTCCCAGTTTTAGTTTGTTTCCCCCTGCAGAACCCCAATATATACCAACCTATGTAAAAGATGCAGTTAGAATTAAAGAACACAGGATGCCTCTGAGCACCTTCTGAGTTGGTTTGAATTTATTTTCAGAACCAGAACTGAACTGAGGTTATTGTCGTTTCATACACAAGTCCACTTCTGGTTAGCTTTCCCCCTCATTTCAGCAGCCTACTTTACCTGGGCAAACTCATTTTGTTGTTGCCGTTCAAAGAACTGGGAGGCAGAAACTCTCCTGCAAATCTACTGGCTGATTGTGATCTACCATCTGCTCAGCCTTCATTTAGGGACTTGATTTTCTAAAATGGGATTTAGGAGGTCACCCAGTGATTTGTGGGCCCCTTTCAAGGACAGAAACATATTGCAGATTCAAAAGGGTGGAGCATGAAGTTAACCCACAATATCACAATGTTTTAAAATCATTTTATTATAAAATGGCTTTGAAGTCAGTCGTCTTCTTATTCATCCCAGAGACAACTGGTTATGGGCACCACCAGGACTGGGCTAAGAAAATGCAAAGCGGGAAATCCAGTTTTTTAATCTCCTAAAAAGGCTGTACTCGTAATACTCTGGCTCTTCTAATAGTCATTGCACGGTAGGGTTGATGATCTTCCCCAGGAAGAGAATGCTCCATGTTGCCTTATCTAAAATAATAATCAGGAAGGGTCTGTTGAAACTGATAGTAAGTACAGGTTGAAATGGAGCGGAACGGAACATAAACTCTATCGTGGTGACTGCCGCTGCCTCAGTGCCACTCTCGTTAACATCCAGCACAGTCTTGTGAATGGCCTGTGAGGAAAGAACAACATATCATTGTCTGCAGGTCACATATGGACACCCTTGTGATGATCACTGTTCTCATACTGAGGATCTTTCCATTAGACCTCCCTGAAGCAGCTGTTCTATCTACTGTAATTCTCTCTCTGTGATAGCTTGTCCACAATGACCTTCAAATCCAAGAGGGTGTTTGCTCTTTTAGCTAAAGCAGGGGTTACCAACCTGGAGGGGCGGGCGAGGGCGGCGTGAGCACATTCACAAACAGGAGAAAATGTCCTGGGCACCATGCCAGCACTACAAACAAGCACATACTGCAACCTAGGTCCCTTCTGCACTGTACATTGAAAGTGGTGCTGTACCACTTTAAGCAATCATGGCTTCCCCCAAGGAATCCTGGGGGTAGCTTGTCCAGGGTGCTAAGAGTTCTTAGGAGACCCCTTTTCTGTTCACATAGCTACAATTCACAGAGTTCCCCGGGAAAGGGGGTTGAATGTTAAACTGCTCTGGCTATTGTAGCTCTCTGAGGAGAAATGGGGTCTTCTAAATGTCTCCACAGTCCACAAGAATATGGTGCGTCCCAAAATATACTGTGCTGTCAAAAGTCAGGGTAAAGAAGTGTGTCTTCAGCACATGATGGGGAATACAAAACAAAGACACACCTTTGTGGAGAGGGAATTCCACAAGCTGCTGCAGAGAATGCTGTCTCCCAGGCCCTCATTCCCTGAATTCTGAGGGCATTTGATTTGAACTGATTTTATAATGAACTGATTTTAGAATGTTGTATTATTTTACTGTTGTTAGCCACTCTGAGCCCGGCTTCAGCTGGGGAGGGCGGGATATAAATAAATTTATTATTATTATTATTATTATTATTATTATTATTATTATTACCAGGAGGATCTCCCTTGCTAGTCTTAGCACCCAAGGGGGGCTGTAGAGAAGGAGAAGGTATTTCAGACCTTTGGGATTTAAGTCATTTAGGGCTTTGAACATTAATGCAAGCACCTTGAATTTGGTCTGGATGCAATCTGGCAACCAGGTAGGTGGTTTAAAATGTGGGCTTATGCAGGTTCTAGTTGGAACCCCAGCTCGTAATCTGGCCACTGCGTTTTGGATCAGCTGAAGTTTCCAAGTCATTTTCAGGGGCTGCCTCACAAAGCAGAGATTGCAATAATGCATTCTGGAAGTTACCAGAGCAGGGAGTACCACGGCTGAGTCATCTCTGTCCAAAAGGGACTATATAGCAGGAAACAGGCACTCCTAACCACTGAGGCCAATGAACTTTCAGGGACTGTGTGGATCAATTTGTACCCCCAGCGGTGGACCTGCTCCTTCAAAGGGGAGTGTAGCACTTTTGCCTATGCATTTTTATGCCGTATTCACTGGTTGTATTTGAATTGCAGTTTGAATTGTTTCAGCGTTCTCTTTTGTTCAGTGCCCAGATAACCTTGATGTACCATCCAATCAACATTTAACCATGAGACTCCTGGAAGAATACATTCTTCAGGTGTCAGTCTAAAGACAAACCAACGTCACTGAAGGCTCACCCACATTTCCCGTCACTCCATGCTTTCTACGCGCAGGTTTGGGTTTCCCAGATTTGTTTTTGTGGGTGGTTGTTTTTTTTTTGGTCCCAGCATTTCCCCCAGGAAAACCCACCTTTTACTGCTGAATCAGAGCAAATGACAATGCTTGAAAACCTGATTGCCATTTGCTCAAATTCAGCAGTAAAACAAGGGTTCTCCTGGAGAAAGCACAGGGAATAATAATAATAATAATAATAATAATAATAATAATACATCTCTGCTCAGACCTGGAAAGCTAGGACCCATGCCTAGAAATGCAGCACAAAAGGAAGTGTGGCAGAGTCTAGATTTAAGGCACAATCAATGCAAATTTAAAGCACATGACTTTCCCCAGGGCATTCTGGGAACTGTAGTTTGTCAAGGGTTCTGGGAATTGTAAGTCTGTGGAGGCGAAATTCCAGCTTCCAGGATTCTTTGAGGGAAGCATGTGCTTTAAATGTGCACTGAATTCACTTTAAGTGTATGGTATGGATCTGTGATTCACATTTTGCAACATTTTCATGGCTTCCTGCAAATGAGAAAAATATCAACAAAAAGAGTTCCTTCTCAGATGTTCTTCACATGCTTCTGAGAAATTATTGGAGGTAATGTTGTCCTCTTTTAATCGAGGACCAAATGACAGAGCATGAAGGTTTAAAGAAGCACTTGATCAAAGAGAGAAAGCACTTACTTTGGAAACCATCAGGTCACGTTCTCCGGTAATGCCAGACAGATCAGCAGCGTCATTAAAGACGTCTTGCACACCCATCTTCTGTAATAAGTCTTTGACATCATAGGATGCAGAAATGGAAAATTTGGGGATGAAAAGACGTATATTGCTGATGAAGAAATAGAAAAAGAATCCATGTTATTTCATTGGTGTTCAGCTGTTGAGTCATGACCCACACAGTGACATTCCCTGGCCTTGATGCACATTCAAGCTTGGAAAAGGGCCCCAGTGCATAGGAAGGGTCTCTTGAAGCCTCTTAAAGGGTCACTGTTTCTCCACTCCAAGTCCTCCCAGGCCAGAATACATTGCTTTAGTAGAGGGAGTTAGGAACTGGATCTACCTTGCAGGCCAGATCCTGACCTCCAGCAACTGCCATGTGCCATTTTGACAGGTGTGTGGGACTGATATTGCCATAATGTCTGCTGAAATCAAATCACGGCGACAAATTCTCAGGGGATTGCAAGTGCTGGTGATCAGCTGATTGGCAGCACCTGCAAACCACAGTTATTATGCCAAGGTGCTGTGTCATAACCTGCCCCACAACTAACATCATATATAATGCCTTGTGTGGGCAGGTGAATGTGGTTTAGGGAGAGATGAACTAATAGGACAAATTAGGACCCCTACTGGGCTCCATTAGGCCCATGGGATGGAGATTTCTCACTGCTTTTTTAATGGGCTCCTCAGATTCAGAGGACTCACTCCCAGGGAAGCTCCCATTGCCTCACACCTTGGGAGCCTATGGCTCGAAAACAGGTAGCTCATCAGGCAGATTGGAACCATCAGTGTCAGGGACTGGGTAGAGAAGGAATGATGGAGACTGCGTCCCCATCCTGACCCTTCTAGGGAAGGGGAAGAGGAAGAGGAAGACAGTATAGATTTACAACAGGGGTTTGCTGGGGGTCACAGCTCAGAGGCAGATGAGGGGGAAAGTTGGGAAATAATGGGAGAGGAGAAGGAGGAGGCAGAAGCGGAAAGGCAGCTGGCTGACACAGTGCCATCAGAAAGCATCCCAGACCCTCCATCTCCCAGAACCTGGCCATAAAGGTAGGAGAACAAAGAGCTCAAAGGCAGAGGGCACGTAGCAGCACCCATAGAAGTGATGAAGGAGGAAGTGGAAGAGACGGGGGTGGGGTGGAGATTCACTCGGGACAATGCCCTTATCCAAGAGGCTGGGTTCTATAGCCTCTCACTGTTATTGAAATGAAAAAGGATGGCAAGAAACCTTTTCTTGTCTTTATACTTTCCTGGGCAAACAGCCAGGAGCCACTGGCAGCATCCTGACATGAGGCCTACTGTTTGCCTCTGCATAGTTCCATCCTTATTTCAGACATTGTGATCTATCGGTACATCACAATGTTTAGCTGGTGATATGTCACAATGTTGAAAACCAGATATCGGCCAGCCTGAACCCACATCTAGATAAACTTGAGGTTAGGGGGCTGACAGCAGTAGCCGAGGTTAGGTCTATGGGGTGTCCTTACCAGTGGCCCCTGAAACTGGTGTGTGTGTGTGTGTGTGTGTGTGTGTGTGTGTGTATATATATCTGGTATCCTTTTAAAACAAAAAGCTTCAACTCTTCGAGTTAGCAGCATTTGAAGAAACGGTGCAGAGAAAAGACTTACTCTGTTTTAAAAGATGCTATCCATTTAGACAGACTTTCTTTTACCAATGCACCTTCCACATGCTCCAGTTTTCCTTCGTCAGGCAGAATGAAGAAAGACGTGGCATCTCCTTTGTATGGAATCTCCACCACCCAGCAAGACAAGTCTTCATCATGGAGGTATTTGTAGTAGCCTTTTCGATACATCAGGCTGGCTTTCACCGTAGTGTTTGCATCCACAATGAAGTCTTTTTCCCGGATCATGTGAGTGTCAAAAGGGTGCTGCCAGTAAGCTTGGAAGAAAAAGATTAGGCAAAAGAGTTGCATGATTTTTAATTCCCTCCAAAGGCAACTTTGTGTGCAATAGGTAAGTATTTCATCTTGTAAGTACAGGGAATGCAAGAGGCATAGAAGTGAGTGATTAAAAATATATATCCTAAAACCTAGACAAAATACCGTATTTTTTGCTCTATAAGACTCACTTTTTCCCTCCTAAAAAGTAAGGGGAAATGTGTGTGCGTCTTATGGAGCGAATGCAGGCTGCACAGCTATCCCAGAAGCCAGAACAGCAAGAGGGATTGCTGCTTTCACTGAGCAGCAATCCCTCTTGCTGTTCTGGCTTCTGAGATTCAGAATATTTTTTTTCTTGTTTTCCTCCTCCAAAACTTAGGTGTGTCTTGTGTTCTGGTGCGTCTTAGAGAGTGAAAAATACGTATGTATGAAGAACTAGGAGATAAATTAACGAGTTGGTTACAATTCCATCAAATTAATGCACTGTGGACAGAAGATAAAAAGATCGGGATAAACGGGGGGGGGGGGGGAATCAAGATTCCAGATAGAAATACTGGAAGGAAATTCAAAACTCTTATCAAAAATGTATAGTCAACTGTTAGAATGGGATACTAAGGACGAGGAAATAAAAGAAGTTATGGTGAAATGGGCGATAGATCTGGGATATAATTTGGAATACGATAGTTGGATTAAACTCTGGAATAAAGATATGAAGTTCACTGCTTGTGTTGCCTTAAGAGAAAACATGGAAAAAATGATGTACAGATGGTACATCACCCCTGTAAAATTAGGAAAAATCTATAAGAATGGAGATAAAATTGCTGGAGGTGTAAAAACAAGGAAGGTAGTTTTTAACACATGTGGTGGACTTGTGAAAAAATTAAGAACTTCTGGGAGCTCATTTATAATGAACTAAAAAAAATGTTTAAATATACTTTTGTTTAAAAACCTGAAAATTTTCTTCTGGGAATGATTGGCAATGAAATTAAGAAAGAGGACCAGACCTTATTCCAGTACGCAACAACAGCTGCTAGAATTTTAATCGCCCAAAATTGGAAATCAATCAATATCCCAACAGTAAGAGATTGGCAAAGTAAATTATTTGAATATTCAGAATTGGCAAAATTAACACAAAAAATCGGAGACCAGAAAGAAACAAAGTTTATTAAAGAATGGAATAAATTCATAACCTATATTGAAGTAGATTTAAAAAACCCAAAGATCACAGTAGGCTTAATATAACCCTTTGACATACAAAAGTTTTAAAGATAAACTGCGGAAAAAATGTATTACATAACCCAAAACTGAGGTGGAGGGAAGTCAATAACTTACATGTTTGTCTTTGTTTTTTTTCTTTTTCTTATAATTAAGTTATGTTGTTCTTATTATTATTATTTTCCGTGAATAATTTATTTTCTGTACATATGTGTGTATGAAAATTAATAAAGAGAAATTAAAAAAAAATAGAGTGAAAAATACGTAACTGTAGCGGCTGCTTGCAAAACAGTACACAAAATAGTGAAAATGTCAATGGGACACAGTGAAATACTCACAGAGTAAGTTCGTTTGCCCTCCTGGGGCAGGTGGCCCTCCTGGGTGGGCGGGCACTGTGTCTCCCCTATGAACTGGCCTATTGCCAGCCAGATTGTACTCCTGCCACCAAATTGGCCAATGGTGGCAGTGATGCATGGGGCATCACCTGGCCACGGTGCCAATGACCAGTAGTAGCACTTGGTACCATGCCCAGGGGAAGGATAAATATCAAGCCAGCAGGGTCTTTTGGCCTCTCTCTCTGTGCCTGGTTCTCCCGCCCACCCTCCCTCAGATTAGGGTTGGTGTTTTTTTTACCAGTGGTACGACCTTGCTATGGACAATGTCGGTCGCTAGATTCAGGGCCCGGTCAGGAATTTATTTCCACCTGGCAAACAGGCTCCATCATTTGGGTTTTTGGCTGCCTCATAGCAATTGTCGCAACTTTGTAAGGTGGTTAGGCATTGGGTAAACCTAGACTTGGTTGGAGGGGAGGTTATAGCCTCTGTCTGCCCCTCCATGAGTAAGGAGATCCTGTTAAAAGGCAGCTCCTGTACGATGCCCAGATGGGAGCTAGGGCCATCCCACTTTTCAAATGCGGACCACTGGCTTCACCCTCTTGGCAGACGGGCGGGAGTGTCATGCGCCATTGCTTACCTCAATGCCTATGGCCAAACCTTTTGCATCTGTAACCAATAAAGTTGTGGCCTTACTTGATCCCCAAAACCCAATAAGCTGTGTGTTGTCTAGTTATTTGCACCTTAGGGAACAGGGTGGTCATGGGGCCTTGCCATGCAAAGGGATGAAGCTTCTACCAAAAGAGTCTCTTGTCCTCTCTGACTTTGAGCTAATCGTTATGTTGAACCTTTTAACATGTTTTGTTTTTTTCTTCTTTTCAACTGCTCATGTTTACTGGAAGTTTGCTCTTCTTAACAAATTAAAATTTGACATTCCATGGCAGGCTGCAATTTCATTGGCGCTATACTCTGCTCTAAAACCCAACTACAAACACAAAAATTTGAGATCTCCACTACCCTTCTCTGTTGTTTCAGGAACATTTTTTTTCAAAAAGGCATAAGCGGACAGGCCATTGGTCTGATCCAACTGGCTTTTCTATCTAGTCCATCATCCTGTTCTCACAGTGCCTATGGGAAACACACAAGAAAGATGTGAGCACAACAGCTCTTGAGAGTTTTAGATGAATGAGTATTTATCAGAGCCTTAAAAAGTTGCCATCGTTACATGTTTGTATGCCCACCTAACAGGGATATATATCTGCAACATTGCGTTTCAGGTCCCACTTATTCCCTTTAATAGTGATGTCAGCTGGTTGAATGCCAATCAGCTTGGGGGGAAAATGACCACAAAATGGAAGCAACAGGAAAGGTGGTTTTTAAATATTTGGGGAGGACCTCCTAGGTATACAAAAATGTGGTTATTTTTTAAAAAAATAAAAATAAAACATTGTCTTTTTAAAAAAATTAAAGCTACATAAATTGCCTGAGAATAACTTGTGACAAAAGGTTCCTTTCATAAGATCAATGGTACTCCAGTCCACAGAGAAAGGGAGAGAGAAACAGTCTAATGAAAGCAGGAGCCAGGCAGATTCTAACCCTCTTCAGATATTATAACGGTGGAAGGGCAAAAAAAGTAGAAAAGAGCTGTAGGGCCAGAGCTTTAGCCCTGTCTCTACTGTCATGTGGGTGCTTTCTGCTTCCTTGTCTTCTAGTGTAACTTGTGGAGCAGAAAGGCTCCTTGCATGATTAAGGACCTTGGAAGATCAGTTTAATCACAGTGAGAGAGTGCACTGGATGACAAAAGTAAGCCTCAAGATGCAGCCACTCAGCACTTTTCTACTCAAGTTTCCCCTCATGACTGCAATGTGCCTAGGGCCCCATCCACAGTGTAAATTTAAAGCAATATCATGCCACTTTAAAGTTCTAGCTTCCTCCAAGACATCCTGGGAGTTGGAGTTTAAGAGGCCCCTATTCCCCTCACAGAGTTCCCTGGGAAAAGAGATTGACTGTAAAAGCACTCTGGGAATTGTAGCTCTGTGAGAGGAATAGCACCCTTAAACTACAGTTCTCAGGAAGCTTTGGGGGAAGTCAGGACTGTTTAAAGTGGTATGATCGTACTTTATACACATAGTGCTCAGGAATGAGAACAGCAGGTATGCAGTATTTGGGTAGGTATGCTTATACTAAGCATCTTGGGTGGGGAACTGGGATTAGGGCTGGAATTTGCATGCCCTAATTTATGAAGATATTAATTTTCTGTGCTGCCTGTCCTGCCAAAGGAGCCCAGGATGGCAAAGAGCAAAGCAGGATGACAATACAATTTAAAAAATAATAATGAATAAGCACCTCAAGATAATTAAGAACACATTTAGAACATCTAAAAACATTTACAAACAGTGGCCTATCCTTACAGCTCATAATTTCAAGGTTGCCAGGAGCAGTATCTGTTAGCAATCAAATGCCTGGGTGAACAGGGATATTTTAAAATTTCTTCAGAATGGTGGTAATAACATTATTAACACAATGAATGCTAATGCTAATTATAATAGCTCCCACTCACCCCTTGAGTTATTATAGGGAAGTTTCAGGAGGAAGAAAGGAAAATGGAACCGTTTCGTCTCTCAAATAAGAAAAGAGGCACATCTTTTCCCTTTTCTCAATTTCCAGCATGGAATGCCCATCTCTGCCATATAACTATAAAGCACTTAGGTTTGGGACTGGCAAACTTCTAATGGTACCCAGCACAGCAGGGGAAGTGTAGGGGGGGGGCAGAGAGAAAAGGTGTCTCTTTTCCCTTCCCCAGTACTGAAATTCCCTGAACAGCACTGCAAGCGTAAGAACATAGGAGTCTATTGGATGAGGCCAATGGCCCATCTACTGCAGCATTCTGTTCTCACAGTGGCCACCCCGATGCTTGTGGGGAAACCTGCAAGCAGGGCATGAGTTCATAAGCAATCTCCACTCTTGAGGTTTCCAGCAACTGGGATTCATAGCCAATAGCTAGGAGCCATTGAAAGCCTCCTCCTCCATGAATTTGTCCCACCATCTTTTAAAGCCATCCAAGATGGTGGTCATTACTGCCTCTAGTGGGAGCAGTGGCGTAGCGTGGGTTGTCAGCACCCGGGGCAAGGCAAGTAATTTGCGCCCCCTAACCCGTGGATTTGCGCCCCCTAACCCATGGATTTGCGCCCCCTAACCTGTGGATTTGCCCTAACCCCAGATGTTGCGCCCGGTGCGGCCGGGCCCCCCTGCACCCCCCACGCTACGCCACTGAGTGGGAGTGAGTTCCAAGGCTCCTAATTCGGGGCTGACTGGAGCCCTGAACCAGAGCACTCCTCTTAAAGGAAATTTGTGTTGCCAGTCCCTTCAGTTAATTACTCTTCCAACTCACCTTTGAAGAAGATGTAGTTCACAAGAACCAGTATAGTGCTTGGATCGAGGTCCTCGAGCGCATGGGCTATTTTCCCCTGAGTTTTGTTCTGCACGTAATCATTTATCTGCCTTTTAGCCGCTCTGGGAATGGTGAAGTTGGTGAGGAAGCCTTCTGCTTCATAGAAGGTTTTGACATCCTCCAAGAACTTAGGCAGAAATTTCAACGACTGCTCAATGAACAAGGCATTTCCCATCTTCACCTGTGCTTTGTTATCCGGGCGGTGAAGGGCATGGATGAGGTGGCGGAATCCTTTGTGTATCTCATTCTCCTCAGTCACTGACAGGTTAAACGCGAGTCCTTTGTGAATCTGACTTTGGGTTTCCGACTTGGCACCCAGGGTCAGCAGTGCAAAAGCTGCAGAGATGCTGATTGGGGAGAAGAAAATGTTCCTTGAACCCGTGCCTGAAGCTATGTTCCTGTAGAATGCGAATGCAAAGTCAGAGTTACTGGGACCTATCTTAAGATAGCTGGAGGAATCCTGTCTCTGTTCTTCTGAAGAAAGATGTGGCTGTTCCAGTAATGTCTTGTCTCCTTGGCTAGCCTGGTCATCGTTGTGTCCTGGGAGTTGATAGCACTGGACTTCAAGACTAATCAGTAACAAGGAGAGGGTGATGACCAGCTTCATTTGGGATTTGTAATTCTTCTGCTGATAATTCCCACACAAGATGTTAAAGGATCAATCCAAAAATGCATGTGTACTCTGCAACAAAGGCGAATTCTGCCCTAGACCTATACATTTATACAACAGAAATAATTCACCTTTCCTGTGAGTGGCGTAAGAAAGAATGATGTTAGTTTCACTAAATCACATACAAAATAGAGTTTTGATAGAAAATGGTTTCCACATTTGTGTTTTTCAGTGTTTCAATGGTTTGTTTGTTTTTTTAAAAAAGTTTATTATTTAAAAATAAAACTGGCACATTCTAACCATGGAATATTTCTCTGTGATACTCTCAAGTTTTCACACTTTTTGAAATTTAACATAGTAATATTAATTTTGACAACTATGTATCTATACCTATATATGCCTGTATCTATGTATATAGTTATTTTCACATATCATTTTGAAATCAACTTTTGAATAGCAAAGACTATTTCATTTTCATTCTGATGCTTACCTGAGAATCCTAACTGACTCCCTTTAGGCAACTTTGGTTTATCCCTGCTCTGTCATAAAATTAATGAAATTCTGCCATTAACTTGAATGGGATAGAACTGTGTCAGTAGTTCCAGTTATTTATGCACCTAGCCACACAAGAAGAAGGGGACGACAGAGGACAAGATGGTTGGACAGTGTTCTCGAAGCTACAAACATGAGTCTGACCAAACTGCGGGAGGCAGTGGAAGACAGGAGTGCCTGGCGTGCTCTGGTCCATGGGGTCACGAAGAGTCGGACATGACTAAATGACTAAACAACAACAAGCCACACACAGAACCAAAGAAATGATTCATATTCTTAGATGCTGGCCCGAACATGCAGGCACTTGTTTAAGAAGTGTGCAGTGGTACCCTTTACATAGCAGAGGAAGATTCTGACATCTGCCATGTCCATGTGGTTTATGGTGCAGCAGTTGACGCTACTGGGCTGCTCTGCACCACCTGTCGTGGAACTTCTGAGGTTCCAGTTTGATGAACCAGTCCTGTAATAGGAGTGGGTGAGATTTCATGCTACCATAACAAGTTGCTGCATCTGAGATTAAGCCCCACTTAGAATACAGCCATTGATCTAGCCTATAAATCCCGATCTGTCTGAACATTAAACAGAGATTGATTTAGATCTGCATGGATGTTAACCCAGAAAAGGAAATGAAATAAACACTGGATATCATAAGCTATGCCAAAACAAGCTAGAGAGAGGAGTGAAAAAGAATGTATAGCTTACTTACAGATCACCAAAAGAATATTGCAGCACCCTTCTGCACTACAATCCTCTTAAACCTGTAATTTATATACCAGGCTTGTACGCAGTATTTATTATTAACCATTAAGCAGAGCAAATATGGGTTGCCAAAGGGAGTCGGGTACAAAATGTGATGCAAGGGATTTGTAGCTTCCGGCCGACCTTTGTGCAATGGTACTACAGGTTGATAAAGAGCTGGATTTTAAATAAATAAGCATGAACTTCCCTGACCAAAGAGATCTCAAGCCACTCGTTTCTGAGTAGTCCAAGCTCATATTGTGGCCATTTATTGTGGCACCCACCACTGCTTGCTCAGAGGCACAGATACCTGACTATATTCCTGGACTAGATGGTCCTCATGGTTCCTTCCATCTCTACAATTCTATGATTCTATATTTCATTATTATTTTAAACCATGTGCAGAGCCTCAGTTGTTGGGCGATCTGAAAATACTATAAATAAGGGATACCTTATTGCACCAGTCTGAATCCACTTATAACAATGCCTCAGGAAAGGCAGATTCCCACTCCTCCCCTTCCTTGACAGAGCAGCTAACTAAATGATAACGGTATGGGAGCAGAAAATGAAAGGGTTAAAGAGAGCAGTGGTATCTGGAATAATGGACTAAGGGGGGGGGAGAGATGTGCAAAGACTCCATAGAGAAGGTGACAAAGTGAGAAACAGGAAAGGGGAAGATGGGAATAAACAATGAGACGGAAGAGTCAGGGGAGAGCCCATGGGCTATGGCAGGTAGGGGAAGACCTTTCTCAGCTCATGGGTCACATTTCCTTATGGGCAACCTACAGGGATCACATGCCAGCCGCGGGCTGGACAAAAGTGGGTGGAGTAACAAACATGCCTCTGATCTTTCTACAGTAGGTTACATTCAGTCAAGAGGTTTCTCTATGTCCATGTCTGCATCTCTCCATCCTCCACCTAGGGAAGAAAGAGAAGCAAATGAGAATTCCTAGATGCCTAGAATTTATATCTTTAGGTCTAGAATTTATATCTTCAGATTTAAAGAAAAAGAGAGGCGTTGTAATATACGTTAACCCGAAATTTGAAGCAATTTTTTTTAAGGACAATGAAGGTAGAATTCTGGGTATACAAGTGGGGAAAGGTAACGAAAAATTTGTGATAACAGGAATTTATGCTCCAAATAGGAATAAGACAGAGTTCTTCAAGGTGGTGGAAGATAAGTTGTTAGAATTTATAAATGAGGAGATTATATTGCTAGGAGACTTAAATGGAGTTACCTCTTTGGAATTTGATCATATAGACTCAGGAGGTAGACCGAGAGGAAGACTCTCCCCTACTTTTTTTAGTATGGTGGAGAGTTTGAATCTGAAGGATGTGCAGTGTTACAAGCATCCTATAGAGAAAAAAATTACCCATCATTCCCAAGCAAAAAAGGCAGAGGGCAGAATTGATGGTATATGGATAACTAAGAATCTACTACCGAAGGTAAAAAAATCAGATATTCTACCTAGATCGATAACTGATCACAACTTGGTTACAGTAGAACTAAGAAATAGAAGGGTAACCAAAAGATGGAGAATGAATGAAAAAATCCTAAACAAAATTTTTTTAGCCAAAGCACAAGAATTACTTATGGAATTCTTCCAAAATAACAAGGTGCAGGATACACATATTAGGGTAATATGGGATGTGAGTAAAGCATTTATAAGAGGCTTTTATATTCAACAACATGCAATTCAAAAAAAGAATAGGGAAGCTAAACGAAGATGGATAAAATTAAAAAGGAAATTGAAGAAAATGAAAAAGTACTAGCCAAACATCCTAAAAATGAGAAAGCAAGGAAAAATTGTAAGCTATTACAAAACCATTTGTCAGCATTAGTTAATCAGGAGATAGAAAATAACTTAAGGTGGATGAAACAGAGGTATTTTGAGTCAGCAAACAAAACTGGGAAATTACTGGCATGGCAACTGAAGAAAAGGCAGAAAGATCTACTAATAGAATAATGGATGAAGGGAAGATCATAGATAAAACAAAAGAAATCACCAAGAGGTTTGTTAAATATTTCAAAAAAATATACGAAAAGGGTAATGAAAAGGAGGAGGAGATAGCAGAGTACTTACAAAGCAGATCTCTACCCAGAATATCGGATGAAAAAATATATATGCTAAACTCCCTGGTTACTATGATTATTGAAAATAATAAAAATTAATAATAATAAAAAGAGAAAGAGAGAGAATTCCTAGATGCCAAGATCCAAGTTTGGGGCAAATGCTCTTTGGTGAGAAAACTCCCACAGAGATTTAAAATCACAAAACATTCAGCTAAGTAAAGCGTGGAAGTATAGGCTGTTATACCTTTAAATTACACAGCGGGTGCAGAATGCCGCGGCGAGACTCCTTATAGGGTCCTTGCCATGGGATCACATTCACCTGGTGCTATACCTACTGCACTGGCTCCCGGTGGAGTACAGGATCAGGTTTAAGCTGCTGGTTTTAACCTTTAAAGCCCTATACAGCCTAGGACCCCCGTACCTACGGGACCGCCTCTCCTGGTATGTCCCATGGAGGACCTTACGGTCTTCAAACAAAAACACCTTGGAGGTCCAAGGCCACAGAGAGCTTAGGCTGGCCTCAACCAGAGCCAGGGCTTTTTCGGCTGTGGCCCCGATCTGGTGGAACGCTCTGTCACAGGAGACTAGGGCCCTGCGGGACTTGACATCTTTCCACAGGGCCTGCTGTTGTAAATAAAAATATGCCCTTTTCCCTTATGGGGTATCCAAGAGCCCATATAGAGTCCTTACATAGGTTCCCTATTGGTAGGAGAGAATAACAGAGGCCAACCAGAGAATATTGAGAAGCAAAGCAGCTAGTAAGCTTGATCTTTATTGATCTCTTGCAACAGGGTGCTCCCCTCACTCGCAGGAAAGGAGGAGGACCCACAAAAATGCTGTGCAAGGGCTTATAAAGACTTGAAATTCCCATCCTGTAGATCAAAACCACCCCCAGAAACATTATACATACATCACAGAAGGGGTGTAACCTATGACCACCCCTCAGATGCATCCAATCTACATCACAGAAATTTAAATGTTTTTTTTTCTCTTGTCCTTGTTTATCTCCTGCCTGGCAAGTTACTTGATTGGATTTCCTTGGTAGCCTGGCCAGTCTTTTGTGGTGATAAGGCTCACACCCTTATTCAAACACAGACATACCCCCAAGACAGGACTTGTGAAGGAAAAGACAATGGGGAGGTTTTTCCAGTTTGACCTTGCAGAGAAAACATTTGCTCAGTTTAGGAATCAAAATGGTTCCACATTGGCCTTCCTGTGTTGATCTATGTAGGTGCGGTTATGAACATTACCATATATCTAAGACCATAAAATTCCAATCACATTTTCCCCCCTTTGGGGCTAGAATGTTTCTTAAAAAATTTTGCCCCACAAATAATAACATCGCATGTTGTAAATGGATGCCTTTGTGTAAAAAAACCCACATGTTGCATATTAATACTAAATTACTTGCGGCATTCTAACACTTTGGGAGGGACCATTTGCTCAATAGTGTTTTATGCTTTACACCTAGCAGGAAGGTCCACTAATGACTGAAAAATGCAGTTGGTGTTTTGTCCTTTGCCATTTTTTGTGTTCTCAGGTGTCAAGGTAGCTCTTCTATGGTCTCACACTGGTATAGTAGTATAGCAACATATTCTGTTGAATCCCCTCGGGGCTTTCATTTAACCATGTCGCCTGGCATTCACCATAGCTGGCACAGGTTTGGACATCTCATGAGAGAGATGTCTTTGCCTTGGCCTTTCTATGGGATTTTATTATTTTATTGGCATTGGTCTTGCACTCTAGGAAAGTTGC